TTTATGAAGTATAAATCCTAGTATGCATTTTCATCCAGCCTTCTACCATTCACTTCACTTCTCTCTCTCTCTCTCTGCGAACTTGGCCACAGCAAATTCCAGTAGCGAACCCAATAAACTACATATTGCCCGGGAAAGAAGGGCATAAGTGAACGAACCAGAATCCGAATCTACCACACGCCTCGTAGCTGAAGAGGTAACGTATGAGACTATGGAGGACGACGTCGGCAGTTCGAGACCCAGCGGATTCTTACGGTAGTCTTAAGTTCTAGAAATAAGAGGAGGACAAAAACGGGTTTGGTTTTGTATGCTTAACCTTCCCGATTTCTGCCCTCTAAAGAAATTACAGAGGGTTTAAGTGGTAGGGGATATGGGAGCCTAAGATGAAAGAAGGAGGGGGTTATGCAAAAACATATTTATGAGGGCGCACCCAAGGTGGTCCGAACAGACATCATATCATTCCATTTCCAGGTCAACAATCTTTAACCAAAACCACGTGTTCAAAGCACTTGAGTCAAAAAGAAAGAATCCAACCAAATTCTGGCACAGCCTCTTCTACATTTTGCTTATACTATATTACATTATTATGGTGCATGGTATCTTTGTTCAAATTATGATTTGAATTCCATATTTAGGGTATTTTTGGCAATGCTACTCACTGATCAGGTTAGAGACATCTTTCATGGTAGGATATTAAAACTGCAAATGTGGTTGAAATAATATTTATATTTAGTATGTAATGTGTGAGAACAAGAATGATTAAATATATACATATGAATTGTTGGGTTCCCATTTTTTAGTCTTTAGAATTTGGTCACCCTGCCTCAGACTTCAGTGGATAAGCAAAGGAAAATTGGTATGAGATTTGTAACTTTGAATATCAAGAGTTTATTTCTTTATTTGGTACCAATGACAACAATTCCCATCCACTGCTTACAAAAGAGAAGATGCATGATATATAACACGTAGCAGAAGTACAGTCTTTAACCACATTTATATTCAGAGTTCTTACCATTAAATAAATCAAGAAATTTGGTCTCCAGGGTCAATGTAACTTTAAAGTTTTGGCCTGACCTTGAATCAGCTTCAGAGGTGAAGTTGCTGTGCGCACTGCATTTACCATTTTCATGCCGTTTGCACTCATGGCAACACAATCACCATTTGATGCAACAAGACCATTCCTAAAGTCCACCCCTGCATTGCCGGAGACTCCGCTGCCTTCTGATTTCAATTTCGTTTTCCGTCTTGTCAGTTCCTCCTCGGGCAAAGACTGCGGATTAGGAACAAAGCGTATGAGTAGTCTAATGGCGACACTGTTCAGTTTAATGAACAATTTCACGCAGATGTAACCCGCTATGAAGCAGAAGATAATGACGTCAATCAGATAATACTGCAATACGCTGTGCTCTTTGGCTGGAGATTGTAGATGGTAGGCACCTTTGTGCCTTAGTACATATTCTGTCCAGTAGATGGCACGATTCAGTGGATGTTCTGGTTGATCCCTCAGTAATCTTGAGCGCTTTCTCACACCCTCTCGGTACCTGTGAATGAATGATAACTGAATACATAATAGTCACAAAATAACCCGTGAATAACATCCAAGGATTCATGAATATTGTTCAAAACATTTAATTATGTAAAAAGTAACTTATTTTCAAGTAGGTGTATCTTTCTACAGTTAACAGTATATGGTTTTACAAGAATTAAACATTTATATTAAAATTAGATGCACTTATTTTCCACTTCTGCGATTTTGCATCCCTCACTCAAGGCAACTCAAGACCTCTAACCTACACATGCGAAAGCACCATTAAATAGCAAGAAACAAGAAAACGTTTTGATCGTGAATTTACTCTCAGTGTAGGAGACACATCATAATATACAGTCAATAGCAAACGTATTAATCATTCACTGCTATTTGTATTTCGTAAGTTACACAAAATCAAAAAATGTTTCATAACATTCTTTTATGCCATGTCTCTACCAATTTTACAAAACCCATTGAAACCGAATTTTGGACAGAAAATGTAAATGGATGAGACCACTTTGGAGACATATGCAAATGTGAAAGGAATGTATTAATACGGAGGGGATTCACTGGATTCATCTGGCTCAGGACAGGGACCAGTGGCGGGATCTTGTGGACTTCGTAATGAAGCTGCAGAGAACTTCTTCACTAGCTGAGTGAAAGTCAGTGCCTCAGGAAGGGTTCTTCAATATGGAGTTAGTAAGCTTATCAATAAAGCCCCTACATGGTAAAACATTAATTTACATGGTAGCCCTGGTACTGAAATCAAACTGAAAAAATAAAATAAAAAAGGTTGTGGTTAATGTTTTGTGTCCTCACTTTGGATCATGAATGACCTCATTGATGGCCCACACCAACTTCTCTGTAGTAAGGTCCTCAAGCTGCAGCATCAGGGCATAACCGTCCAGGACCGCCTTGGCTGAATTGGCATCGTGGTCACAGAACACTGGCATCGTCACAACTGGCACCCCGTGGTATACGGTCTCAAACATGCTCAGCAAGCCCCCGTGGGTCACAAAAGCTCGGATCTTATTGTGACCTACGGCAAGACCACAAAATAATTAAAACTTGATTTCCAAAGTACGTCTAACTTAAAAGCGTTGACAGCAGGCTTGCTTTCTGGATAAGTATTCAAGAACTTCAAAAGTACTGAAAAAAAATTAGTGGTCTACTCTGCGTAGAACCCAACAACACTCATTCCCACTGAGTGCTCCTTCCAGCAAAAAGCACTAGATTTTCTGCAGAAGCCACCTTTTAAATAAAGTAAAAGGCTTTGACAAAAGTTTCATGTTTTTCGACATTTTACAAAAACACAAAATTGTAGGACACAGCATTACATGGAGTTGGTTAACTGGAGCATGTTATGCAGTTAGATCTATGTTTCATTTCAGTTTAGTTTGCATACTTTCACTTCGTAATGAAATTGTTTTTTTAATTCATCTAACAGCAAAAAAGATATTCACTTCACAGAACAAAATGGTCAGAATTGTGGGCGGTGTCAAACCACACGTTTTACTCTCTTGGTGAATTTCTAATGACAGAAAATGACTCATAATGGTTTTAAAAGTTTTCTTGCCTTTGTACGGTATAAATGGGCAGTATAATTCATTTGTCGCAAAATTCAACAGGAATATTTCTCTTTCGTTACATGAACGATATTACTGTTCCTATCCTGCGAGACCCCTGAACATGCAGTTACAGGTTACGAACTGAACCCCTAGTGTTCCTCACTGACCCAATATGTCCTGCTGCGGCAACCACCGACTCAGAAGCACGTTGCTGGGCAGGTCAAGGACGCTGTTCTCAGGGGTCTCCCACTTCCAGATCACACGGTAGGGCAGCAGGGCGAAGGCTCTGAGAAATGTCATTCGGAGCACCTCAGGCATCTTTGCAGTCAGGACGGATGAACCCATGCTGACGTAGATGAAGCCCATCTCAGACCCTGACACAAACTGCTCCAGCTCCTGCAGTTTGTTAAAATTTTGTAGGATTGCTGTTTCACGGCAGTGAGTGCAAGAATGGCTGTCTTCTGGGTTGTTAATCCGTGTAATCTGGTAGAATTTTACCAGAATTTCAGAGGCCCTTGTGGTGAGTCATTGCCCTGATGATGGAGGCAGCTAGGACCTCTGAAACGTTGATAACCTTCTACCAGACTACACAGCGCAACAACCCAGAAGACAACATAATTTTTTAAACAGTTTTAAAAACTCGCTACATGAAGCGAGAAAGAAAACACAGGAACCAAAAGGCGCAATCCGTATCTGAATGAGTACATGCAGGCGTTCTTTGCACGTTTCAATTCTGACTGCTCCCAGCTGTTTCAAATAGCTCTGATGATGATGACAAAAAACTGGATGCACTGCGATCAATGTTACGTCTGTACACAACTATCATCGCTGGAAGAATAAGGACAAGAAATTTATAACACTAAATAAAGTTGCTGCACCTTAACAATAATCTGAAAGCAAATGCTTTTTGCTCAACCGAAGTAAATAAACTGGAGCACAGAAGTCCCCCCCCCCTCTGGCTGTACGTCAGCAGTGAAGGCGTATGATGGGCGTGGTCGATCACAGCTCTCTGTACCACCGTGCACATACGAGAGGCAACGGAGCCTAAATCGAAATTGAAGTCGTCCAGCCTAACCTAACACTCACCTTCGGCAGGGGTTTCGTTGGTCTACAGTGAATGCAAGCTATTTCTGCGACGTTCGGCAGGTATGGTCTCGGGTACGTGACTGTAGCGTGTCCGTTCTGAAGGATAAAGCTAACATTCTTCGCCATGTCAAAAACACGTGGCATTGACGCGCCGAAGTAATTCTTCATCATGGCCTCCAAATACCAGCTTATGAACACTGAATGCACTATCTCTGTTCCTGTCAGGTACACGGTGTTCCGGACTCGGTCGATGAATCCCATGTCGTCAGTGAACGGCCTGGCAAAGAATGGTGTCACCGAAAAGGGCGCGGGACTGCCCCCATATGACACCGACCCCATGTAAAATGCCACACTGTTGAGGTACATGAATGGAGCACGGAAATGAAAGGCGAGACCAAGTGCGCACTCAGGGTAAGCACCGTCCAGTATGGCGAGGTCAAAGGAGCGCCCAGAGTTCATGAGTTGGCGTGTTTCAGGGTCCGACAGCACGGTGTCGCATGACTGGAAACAAGAGCAGAGTGACTGAGTCAAGAGCACGAATGCTTTTCAAGAAACAGCATTCCTGATCGAAGTAGAAGTTCCCAAAACAACACATTTTGTACCTCAGTTTCTTCCGCACTCACCAACGAGTGCCCTACTTACGTGATAGGCGTAGCGGAGCACGTCAGCAGGAGGCACAGCTTCTCTGCCACTCATCCGAACTCCCAGCAGGTCCCAGTTCGTGTAGTTCCGAACATAAAACACGAAGTTTAGAGGAGTGATCTCCTCTAGTCCTGCTTCCTCAGCGTCCGGAGGAAACGCGTTTAGAAAAGTTACGTTGTGGCCGCGTGATATCAGTCCACGTGCAAGTTCCAGGAAGGGGATCTTGTGGCTTTTGGTGCCCCCCATCGTAACCATGAGCACACGGGACCCACCTCCACAGCGACACCAGACGAGGACTGCACTCACCGCGTAGACCCACCGAAACGGATGCATTTCTCGATGTTTACCTGCAAATAACACAAAGAAACCCTCTACAAACCTCAGCACTACTATACTATCGGATTTTTACGCCGTGAGGAACCTGCTGTCTCCATCTTCAACCCTGGCCACACCCTTCAGCGGAGTGCCAAAGTGGCACAGTTCATTACATTAGCTGCAACATGCAATTACTTCCAAAGTTGGTTGCGCAAACCATTCTATAGGAATGCGTGTAGTAGGTTTTTAATAGCGCTGTATCAACTGTGGCTAATTCCAAAATACCATCTTCTGGTATGCAGAATGCAACTTCGTTCGCCGTGTACTCTCGTACACACGGCAGTGAGAACCTCAATCATATTACGTAACATGAGAAGTAGTTTGAATACGTAAACCGGGAACAAGGAATGAGCTAAGGCATCTTCAACGTAACACAGAGACGTATCTTCACATTAGAAATGTACAATCAACTGTAACGTTTCGGTAACTTTAAGATTTGCGTGAGGAGTCGAAGTAAATGCAAAACAGACGACCACGGAGTGCAGTCGTCAAAATCTTAAAACGGAGAATGAAGAAGATTCCTCCGAAACGTTCATAATCTGCCACGTGACTGCCTGGTGTCGCAACCCTCGGGCTCAATTCCATAATTACGCACGTTTATTCCAAACGTTGACAAAAGCGTTATTTTTTTACAGCTTACCAAGCCCTCGCCCCCTTTAGGCCTTCGGAGCTGATGATTATACGCCTAGACAACTTAGTGAAACTTTGGGAAGTCTGATGTTACGGTTCAACGACCAGCTTCCAACAGCAATGTCATGATAGTTATTTCTCTCACTCTCTCCCAAAGAGAAGCAGGTTTCCCTAGTAGATAAGTGTGTCGACTGTGATCTACAGGACGACAAGAGAACAAGGAAGATATTTCACAGATGAACTGCGGACGCTGAGGCACTTTGGATACGTCCAGCTTGAGAATGATATTCCTGAAAGCACGGAAGGCGAGCTTCCGAACAAGTCACAGTTCTTAAATGTTTGAGGATATCAGGATTCAATGCAAATCTTCGGCAGAACCTCGGTTGCATTCTAAGGGCAGCGCCTGGAGGGCGTGAGGAAGCCGACTAAAGGCCTCAGGCATGAATTTTCGTTATGATAAAGCATCCGAGAATCTTCCGTTGCTAGGCAACACCGATACTGGAAAACAAAGGGCCTGGTCTGTTTAGCTACCTAACGGACTTCTGGAACCTCTTTAACACGGGCATCAATGAAACTACAAAAACTTAAAGGCGACAACCTAAAACATCTTAATCGGAAGATGACCTTAATGCGACAAGCAGTCCTGTTGCCTACAGACTTGAGTTTTTGCCGTCTTCAGTAGGTACTCATGAACATCCGCTTCGAAGTTATTCTGCGACAAAATGTCAGTCGTTCTGTTCGGGAATCCTGCACTGTTGACGCCACGACATTGGGTGCCAAGAAACTAGAGCAATTTGCTAATGCTAACCAAGAAACACAAAGTGCCGTATTCCCAGCACGCGATTCATCACGCCGCTGAACTCACCGTTCGATGTCCAACCGCCAAATCCGCTATGGATCGCCGTCGAAACACTCGCCTTGCCCTTGTGCTGGAGCAATGAGGTTGCTGTCTGCTCGGTGAGAGCAATTTCTCCCACGGGGTGGGAGCAGGCGATGAGACGTTTCAAAGAAAATAAAAAACAAACGTGGGCGGGCCGAGATATGAGGGAAAGAAAGAGAGAGAGAGAGAGCGACCGCCGTGTCATTATGAAGAAAGTGCGACCATTCAAGACGTTTCGTTACAACCTCCTGACTGCCTGATGGACATATTATTTTCACAACCTACTTCTAAAAAAAGTCTAATGAGGACGTTTTAGAAACTGTCTTCATATTCGGCGTTCAGATTGTATGACTTTCGCTCAGATTATCTGCCCATATAAGAACAGCCTTGGCGCCCAAATCCCCTTCAAAACTGTTCACCGATGGCGGGAAATCATTTTAACCCAATGCGGTCCCTTTTAAATACCACTAAGCTATATAAATTCAAGTTCTATTATGAACTGGTTTGATTTTGTTTTATAACTTGCATAAAGCGGAAGAAGCTTTGCTGAATATGGTGAAAATATGTTCTGAGAGGATCACAGTTCCTCTTGTTTGAAAACTGACCGTGTGAAATATTTTTCACGGACTGTACCACTGTCGCCAGTGAGATGCGTAATAACTGGTGCCTTTCTGCGTCCTGTCGTTCCGGTTCAAAACAAGGAAAGTGAAACACAACACGAAGTGTAAACGATAAAGTCACTACACATAAAGAATGCTTGATAAGACGACGATTGGATGTGTGTATGTCAGTGGTGGATTGCTCTATGCGTCAAAAATAATTTAAAAACATAATTTCCTACTAGGAAGATGGGATATTTGTTTTATAATCTTATCAGACATAAAATATTAATATTCTAAGTAAATACGACAGCCACACACCCGATGGTATTCCTTCGCTTTATGATGTACGGCAAAACATTGGCTTCCTTCGACACGTCAGAATAAGTTCCTCCTTCCTCCTTTCACTATTGTGAGGCACACGAAGTCTAGGATAGAAAAGGTGCAAAGAAGAAGGCTTGGATGATGTGATGACAGCCTCAGTTTGACTCCAGATCACGTATAAAAATTCGCTAAATACGCGGCGGACTCAGTCCGACGTAGGGCCCCAAGGGTTAAAGCAATACTAAACCAAATCTTCCTTGAGAAGCTGACAGTCGCTAATGTAGCAGCTCTCGCTTTATTTCTGCTTATGGCCAATTTGATGGTTGTTGAGAATGACTGTGAGGAACCAAAATGTGGGGATTTTGAAGAAAACCAGATTGATCATCCGTTGGACTGGCCATGACCGTGGGAAACAGAAGGCGGGTCAAGGGCGCACGACCTACACAGAATACAGGAAACTCACTCACTCTACGGCGCAGGAAATTCTTTAAAAAGTCGACTGTATACTCGGCTTGTCAAATAATAGCCCACTTCCTTTAAGGAACCCGAAGGTTCGTCACCGTGTTCACAAAAGCCCCGCCGCCGGACTCTATCCTTAAAATCAAAAGTGCGTTCGCCGTTAGAGATGTCTCTCATTTAAAGTACAACCTACAACGTCATTACCTGGCCGTTGATCACGACCTTCGACGAGTACCTCAACCCTACCTCTGAGCTACCCTGAGAGCCGATTTACAAAATCCCCAAACCCCATCATCCTCTCGCTCAGTATCAAGGCGTGTACAATGCGCAGACAGACAGGACGCGAATGAGGACATAAATGCGAGCTCAACAGCACGTCCTCAGACATAAAAAACAGTAATCGGCGAATAAGCACAAACCGGCCGGAATTAGGTCGGCACCACTCGCTGCAAAAACGCGTCGGAACTCACAGAAACACTTCTACGCAATTCGAAGCCACGGAACACGCACTGACGTGCCCGACGGAAAAAGCTTTTCTTAAAACTGCGTTACTTAACTGCATAACCACATATTGAGGGACGCCCCAGAGCAGAGTTCGACTGCACCGACACAATGGCCGCCTCGTCTTCACTGCTTTGACTGAAGAATAGGCCAAGGTGATCATCAGATGGGCCCAGCCAAATAGGATGTGCGAACAGATTAGTTTCAGACTAAAAAGGACGCGTCCTTCATTGGTCCTCCGTGGACTGAATGCTGATTTCGGGACACAACACACAGTTGCATCACCTAACTGATAATTATGAAGCTGAGAAAAATGGATACTCCGTGCACTCCACTGATTCATCAGACGTAATTTTATCGTGTTTCTATATCTTGCTTTTTACTATTAATTTCGCCTTGCGTACCCAAGAGACACCACTTCAGACCTACAGAAACGTTCTGTTGTTCACGTCGCACACTCTTCATCGCCATCCCTTGCCTTTCCCACATCTGACCTAAACTTTAAACAGGAAATCTAAACCCAAATGAAAAAGGATAACTTAAAACAACAAGTTCTTACAAACAATGAAACATTCCATCATAATCTTTTAACATCATTTCACTCAATTCGTTTAAAAGACATTTCTCAATATCGGATGGCCGGTGCATATCAACATACAGTTCCTGGTTCATTGTGAATGCTCTGGGAATTTTGTTTGCATATGGGGACAGGCCCACCGCTGAAAAACCGCTGGCTATGTGGAACACGTGAAAATTTTTAAGCATGAAAACAAATACAACTTCTGCTACAATATAAACAATATTTTGCCAGAAGAGATTGGCCAATCTAATGACGGTTTCGATTCTCAAAGCGGATTGGGACTTCTCTGTTTACTGCCATGTCCAGAGCAGCATTTGGGCTCACGACCTTCCTATCCGATTGAAGCTGGGCCGAAGTACGACAGAACTCCTTGCCCAGGAAAGACAAATTTTAGAACATGCCAGTGCAGAATGTGGCGGTCGCAAAGTACTTAACATTTGTACGGTGGAGAAAGAGGGGCGACCTTGGTGGGGTAGTCGTGTAGAACTGCTCCTTTGACCAACTCGAGAGGCAAGCAGTCTTTCAGAAGACTCATTTAATAACGTTATCACCTCTTACCTTTCAAATTCCAGTTTCGTTGGAGTGGACGCATGGACAGGGATTCGGAACGATGCTAACTTACAGAAGGAAATATATTTCTAAGGTAATGTTAGCTTCCACAACTTAACAAAGAAAAATAATATACTTCGATTACTTTCTTAATAATGCATAAGAATTAAATACATTATAGGTGACGTGCGGTCAGCACGACGAACCCCCAGCCATTGCTAGTTTTCATGACCGGATTACGCTACCCATTGTAGCTCCCAATTTCCACATAAAAGTAATATGGGACTTGAAGTGAATGATACACTCACACGTGACTGAAGGCTTCTCATCCTCGGGTCCACACGCGGTCCAGCCGAACATGAGACGCTGCTGTTGAATCTTGGGGTTTGTCGAGGGGGTGGCGGCGCACGGGATAATGTGATTCGGTAAAGGAACGTCTGCCGTAATGTGACGATCACATGCTGACGCCCTCCAGATCACTAAAAGGAGGACACTTGATAAAGTGCTTTACGCAGTCTTCTTTTATTTCATCTCACACGGAACACATTCATCCTCCAGACCACACCCCACAAATTAAAGAAGTCATATTCCTAGTCTCATCCCTCGCCCCAGGCCAACAGACAGCTGGCCAGTTATCCACCGCCACCCACGAACACAACAGACTCAGAGGCCGAGGGTGGGATGACTATCCCACCCCTAGTTCTAACTTCTGAACTTACCCTACAATAAGTTTGAAATATGCCTCGCAGTCATCACTTCAAGCTCTGCCCCATCCAGTGGATCATGAATCATACTGACACACAGACATGTCCAACCCGTAAGGTATTCTTCAGTCACACCAGGGCATGACTACCTAAAAACGCCCCCACTCCAATAACATTTCCATTTAAGCTCGTTGCATAATATTGCTTCTAACTGTACTCTGTTTTAAAAATTGACCTCTTAATCTTCATATGGATCCACCTCGTTGCCAAACGCTACAATTTAACCTTGACCCCATTTAAATGTTGTGTTCTGACCAAATTCCCCTGCAAAGTTTATGCACAAGTGACAATTCATCAAATGAAACTAGGAAATACCGTCATGTAAACCCTTGAAGACCGGGAGGAGTCAGACTCGTCCCGCGCTCTTATGCCGGCCGCCTGCCGTTCCCATAACCCTGTGACGCCCACTTCCAGCAGTGCCAAGTTCCTGTAATGCAATTTATGCTGCCACGCCGGTAGTCCGAACAGCCGCTCACGCGCACGTAAAGGCCGGCAGTCGGGCGAAGTCGACCTGAAAATCTCACCAACCGGCGTCACAATGACTGCCAGCTTCTCAACAAAGCTGGAACCACAATTTATTGCACCGGTTGCCACTCCGTATGACCAGAGCAATGGTTTCTTGTTGCGCTCGTAAGTGAATCTGGCAATGGCTTCAGCTTGATGATGAGCTGTAAATCAGTGATGAGTGCCTTGGGTATGTAGAAATGATGCAACATATCACCACTGATGACACTATGATAGCCCCTGCGCCACTGGTGGCTCAGCCAAAATATTGATTTGCAACGACTACGACCTGCACGAGGCAGGGAGCAAGGTGCGACGACATGACTGCTCATTCCAGTAGGGAAAAGTCAGCACATGACAACACTGACGGACTGCACCATAAATTTACAAATGCCAGTGACAAACTTAAAAATCTATAAAGTAGCGAACGATCATCAACGTTCATTCACGGAGAACGTGTAGCCGCACTTTCACAACACCAACGAAATAAAGAGGTAAGGCAAAAAATAGTTTAATTTTTAAAAATGTAAACATTCATTGAAGGCAAATTTACATTCAGTATAACGGGTAACTGCAGGCTTCATTGTTCCTCTGGAAAAATATGGCGCACGCATTCGGCTCTGCACTGGAATCACTTCGTGTTATTAACATCTAAATGATAATGAAAGGGAAAAAGCTACGTAAGCAGTTTTAGAGAGATCATTCAATGTTTAAAGACTTAGCAACGAAAAACCGCGTCTTCAATAAGCTAAGTACTATTATTATTATCATCCCATCTCTTCACCACTTCCATGTACCCGAGACAGACCTTGTCCCTAAGGTACATAGGGCAGCAGCTATTTCTGGGATAGATTTTGTTTTTAGCAAGTGCCACATGAATTATATAATTTTAATTTATGACAGCTTATTATTATTATTATTATAAAGATGAAACGTGTATAAAAAATCTGAGCTTTTGGGCTACTTGCAAATATGATGCCAATTTTTAAAATTATGGAATTGTCAGTGTTATTTTTAACATTGTATGCGGCTGCTTTTGTCAAAATACGAACTAGCGCCTGAAGATGGCCTTTCATTATGTTTACGTTAACTACAATGACAACTTTTGTATCCCGAGTACAAACAAGTTTACAACAGAGGGTTTTTCTTTTAAGAGATTCGCCATATTTGGCGACTATACCAGTGACATAACGTGGAATGGCATTTCCAACACGCACGGTCACCCTGTCGGCCGCCTCGTCTCCCAGACCAAGCCGCACAGTCCCCGATGCATTATACTTGCATCAGTAACTAAAAAAACAGGACACAAACTATTTTAACACGTCTGTACTAATTATACAAAATACGATACAAACACTTACGCTCAACAATTTTAATGCACTCCAAAATTCCAGATGTCACTAAAGGTTGACAACCTGAATACAGGATAAGCAGCACTTAAACCTCATATCAGAAATAATACCATAAATTAATACAAATAAACATTTGTAATTTTTAAAGTTAATTTGAATTTATATTAAAACATCTGATTAAAAATTAGTTTCGCATTTACATTGAGAAGTTGTTCCCTTGAACATCATTAATGGGCAGAAATGTGTTCTGTAAAATGCTTTGTGGGTAAAAGTTTTCAGCACTAAATCAGATGTGGTGAAGCCAGTGCTTCGCCGTCATGATCACCAAGCGAGACACAGAACAGAAACTGTCTTCTACTTACAGTCTTAATCCACAATCAGACACCTTCACTGACCTACCATCTTGGCTCAGAATCACGCACTTCCGTAAGCAGCACAATTTTCAAAGTACGAATTGCCTCCCCTTCACTTTCTATGAAGAGAGCAGGACACCTGTTACAGATGTCCTGCTCTCTGCGGGTCAAGACATAACAAATGAAGAATTGTGGCTCACATTTTTTAATTGTACCACCACAAAATGGCTTTACTATTTCTAGGGTATGTGATTACAATTGTATTTCTGGGAAGAACTCAACATAAACAGATCTGTCTATATTAAAATTTGTTGGACACAGCGTCAGCCTTTCACATTGTAACCAGGTTTGTCATTTTTGAGTTACAAACATTTCAAGCATTATCTGTAGGTGTTCACGATCAAACTGCATATGAAATTTTACACCCTAGTTACAATAACACATTACTAACTGGAGTAAAAGAATCTGTATTTTATTTTATTTTATTTCATTTTAAAGGCATAGTTCTTTTATCTACTAGCGTACGTCACTTCAGGGCCCCATTAAACAGTCCTAGTGTCACTCCACATCACAAATTAACATGTCTGCCACACCATTATTACCAACCATAGAATATTAAGAAGTACGAGTTCTGGGCGGCCTCGAGCGGCACAAATTTCATGCCAAATTTATTAAAAATCCACCAGCAGGTGTGCAGAGAGCTGATCAGCTCAGTGCGTGTTCATTTTACGCGCAATGTGTAAAGAACATACAAATCATGCGCTGTTCAATGACCTTACTTCCTTCATTACGACCTACTACAGATTTTACTTCGTAGACAGAGAAACACAAGGGTATAAGCCACAATATTGCAGTAGTGTTAGGTTAAAACATCAACAATGTTTATATACAATACACGTAGTACGATTAAGTTCGGACTTGTACCACGCGGTACTTTTAAAAACACTGTCACAGGTAAGAAACACAGCCAGTAGTGTACAAAATACTGCCATCAAATTTCAACTTTCTGCAACATCAAACACTTAAGATAGAACATAAATTTGTTAATTTACATAGACGTTCGTTCACAGGTAAAATAATAATCTTCACCTGGTACTTAATAAAATGACTAGTAACAAATAAGAACACAGCATAAAATTTTTGCTTTTAAAGTTCAAAGTCATGGATCAAATGAATTTCTTTGTTAGCATTCAAAGCTTCAATCCTGCTGCACAGGGAATACTTGCGTGATTTTGCCGATCCCTTTCGTACGGCCCTCCCGAAACAACAGCCTCATTCCGACTTTGACGTACTCCGGGTGTCTGAGAAAGCGGAACAGCGCCGACGCTCTATCATTAGTATGGATTCCCCCCGAGGCCATGATGCCTTCGATCACGGCCGTCTGACGGATGTTACCGATGTGCACCGTTGTTTGAAAACCCGGATAGATTGCAGTCGCGTGAAACAGTACGCATACTGCCGCCTGGAAGGAAGCAAAATCCGAGTAACTGTAAAATGCAAAGTTGTACGTGTGCTTAACTAAGCACCACACCTTGCAAACACATGGGGGAGTGGAGGTATAGCTCCATATATTCTTAACAGAAGACAGGAAAGGAAACTTACCTGGAAAAAGAGACAACCAACAGGTTTTGACTCTGGACTGAGCAACACCATGCCATTTCTTAATCCTGGCACTTCCCGATTCAGTCCCAGGGACGCACTCTGGCTTGCTCGCACTATCCGACAAGGAGCCTTATTACGATGTGCTGATTGCACAGTCACTGGCAGAAACCTGCCATCATTTAATGGCCCTATAAATACAAAAAGGATGGTATGTGACTTTTTCTTATTTTCCAAAATAAAGATCTGCTTTAAAAGGACTCCCTGGGAGTATCTGAAGGAATTCAGAGCAATATAAAGACAGGATAACTAACTACTTCAAACACTGTTTCCAGCCATACCTGACACTGCAGCCTACTGGTTAGCATCCTGAATTTCATATTTGGTAGGTCCCATTCTCAAATTCTTCCTATTCTGACTTTCTTCTGGTGTTCTACAGTCCCTCCAAGAAACCCCAGGATAAGACCAAAAAATCAGATCACGGCAATTACCATCCTCATCCTTATTAATCGAGGTATCATCTGATGCTATGTACTGTATTTATTGGAGAATAAAATGCACCCTCATTTTTGGATTCAAAAATTAAAATCTAAGTATTCATGATCAATGACAATGATAGTGAGAGTGATGATAACAGTATTGGTAAAGAGCAAATGACACAAATATGTTGAAGAATTTTTACTTTATGACAATTTAAATCAAACTACATATTACTGACAAACAAATGTTAGTTTTGA